CCACCAGATGCAGGAAAGGTGGGCAGGCTCTGCAGGGAAAAAAAAAAATAAAAAAAAATCAGGCCCCTTGCCACCCCTCACCCACCCCATTCCCCCAGCGAAGCCTGCCTGAAGGAGCTACCACTGGGCCATACAGCCCCTGAGCTGCAGGGGTGGGGTGGGGCAGTCCTTCCCTTCATGGTGGCAGCACCTCTTGGGGAGGGGGGCTAGCTGCACAGGTGCTGCCCCAGCTCACCACACAGGACTCACCAGATCCAACTCTTCCCCAAGCCCATGGCAAGGGGTCCAATCCTCCCCCCCTGCCACCCCTTGTGGAGCCCACCTACCTCTCCCATGGTCAGGGGACAAGCTGCCAGTAAGCCCTGAGCTGCAGGGTGCCCCAGACCTTCCATCCACAGCAGCAACACCCCCTGGGCAGCAATGGTGACAGAAGCCCCTAAATTGAAGTGGTGGATTTTATTTATTTTTGATCATCACAATTAAAAACCCACCATTTCTATTTAGGGGACTAAACCCCCATCACATGTACAAGTGGCCTTACCAGGTAATTAAGAGGATCATTTTGCCCAACTGTCTTACAGTCAGTGTATACACCATTCTGTTAGGGTCCCACCTTCACTACTTCCTTTACCAGGTAGAAAAAAAGGCTCACAACTGAAGTTATGAGCTGTTTTGGTTACTTATTTATTTATTTGAGCCACAAGTGAAGCTACAAACTACAAACAAATGCTTAATGAGATAATCAGTTTTTTTTTTGTTTTTTTTTTTTTTGTTTTTTTTTGTTTTTTTTTTTTGTTTTTTTTTTTTGTTTTTTTTAAGGCTTAAGGTTCAGGTAGAGCACAAGGCCAAAAGCAAATATATTAATTTAGCCCCACTGTGGAGTTTGCAATCTGCCTTTTTGTGCTTGTACAGTAACTAGTACTGTGCAGATGTGGTCTAAAACTAGTCCATAGGTGTTAGGAGTTGTAAGTATTGGCAAAGGGATGAGAATGGGGGAAGGAACTAGTTTAAGAGACCAAAATCAATTATGAAACTTGAGAAGGACAAGATGGGGATTATGGAATTTCAGTGGAGTAATTTAACAAACCACTGTTTTTCATTCCATACATCATAGCATTTTAGTTTAGTCACTGTTACTGTTCAGGCAAGAAGCAACATTCAATCTATAATCTGTTCCTTTAGGCACATGCATTAAAATGTAGATGGGCCACAGAAGGCTAACCGTGAGACTATTCTGCCACTCTTGGCAAAAGTACTTCCAGTATGTCATAGAGAGGAGTAGTAAACAGAGGCAAGTAGTGTTCTAAAAACCAGTTTGAAACTTGCATCTTTTCTTTTTTTTTTTACTCCAACTTAAACTGATGCCAAGATAAAGTTGCTAAGAGGTTAACCTATACTTAAATAATAAATAAAAAAAAAAAGGAACCGAGTAGCTGAGATATCAGAGACAAGAACCTTCATCTTGTTGCTCACAACTCACGTTTAAGCTCTGGATTGGTAGAGTAAAACACACTAGCATTTATCAGCTGTTTAGCCATTTGCATAAAGTTACCTGGAGTCTGCTTGTACTCTGGAATTTATACCACTCCAGTCACATAGCCCAGAGCCAAACTGGCATGGAGACTGAGCTACAACCTCACTGCCACAGGGGACTGCTAAGGAGATAGAAGGGCTGGAAAGGAACAATGTAAACTGCTCCTGCTAGACTTAATAGTCAATCAGATAGTCAGGGCAATTTCCAGAAGTCTTTTGCGAAAGGGAGGGAGGGAGAGAAAGTCACTCAATGTGCTTAGAAACCCAATTCTCATTTTAAGAACCAGAGTTGTCATTCTTGCCAGGCACAGCAAACAGAAAAGAAGCCATGTAAATACTAAAATGATTTTTAAAGAGGCAAACTGGCACTCAAACCCTACAGTAAATTCTACTTCCTTGGAACAAAATTAAATAGCAGGAATTTTTTAAAGAAAAGCCAGAAACTGAGATTTTCAAAGTTCTTTTCAATCTTTTAGAAATGGTTCATAGAGACCTAAAATTACAGTGTAGTCATTTTAATCCTTGAAGATGTTTTAATATTAATCATATTTTAAATTACTGAAATTTATCCCATTAAAAAGGATACCATAAAACAAACTTCTTGGATGATGGCTTTGTTCTTTTCTTCTTCATTGGACAACAGTCTCTGACAAAAAAAGAACACTGTAAATGGATTTGACAAGAAACAAATGATACTTGCAATATTGCAGGGATAGTGCACTACATAAACCACTACTAAAAAAGCCTGAAGACTAGAGATCAGTGAGCAATGGTCAAGGCTGGCTTGGGTCAGCAGACTGGAAACATTACCACTAACACAAGTGGCAGCATTTTTGGCACCCATCTTTAGGTTCATCCATACCCTTTCTTCACAAGCATAACTTTTGAACACTGCAGGATTGTACTTGGTCTACTGTGGAGGTTCCCAAACTTTTTCTTATGGTGTACCCCCTTCTGGATTTACCAGTTGCGAGCACACATTTTATATTTTAACCCCTTAAATGCTGATCATAATGAAAAGTAAATCCTCCATTGCACAATTTCTCCTGCATACCCCACAGAAATGTCTTGTGTATCCCCAGGGGTACATGTACCAGTTTGGGAACACCTGGTCTACTGCAAGGGTGCTCAGGATCTGGCCCATGGGTCAAGTGTAGCTTGTGGAGCCTTTGAATCTGGTCCACAGGGCTCCCCAAACACCAGGAAATTTGGTGGCAGGGAACAGTGGCCACCCCCTCCCTGCTGCCAAAATCCCAAGCCCCATTGGGCAGATTGGAACCAGGCCACAACCGTCTTCTAGCACAGCCAGGTCATAGTTTGCTTCCTTACCTTCAAGTGCTCATGACATTATTGTTTGGAGTTAGGGCCTTGTTGCATCTTATGTTGTGAGCTGCAGTAATGTTGATGGGTAGGGAACTCAAACACAGCTGCTGGCCAATTTTGTGGGCAGACAGCAGGGCTGGCAGCCCTTTTCATGGGCTGAGCACGGAGAACCCCCTACACCTGATTGGCAGAGGGGCCCCGGTTGTCCCACTCCTGACTACCTATTTGGCGGAGAGCTGTCATATAGCTCTGGCCCTTGCCGCTGATTGGCTGAGGGCTGTCCATCATACGACTGTGCCATATGACAGCCAGCCTTTGCAGCCTATCAGCAGAGAGGGGTGGAGGGAGCAGCCATTTTGCCATGCTAGCAGCTCCATTACCCTCCAGGACAGTAGCCATGAGGACTTGCAAAGGGAGCCAAAATTTTATTTTAATTTTTGGAAATCTCCCCACCCCCGCCCAGGAGTCTGCTAGAAGTACAGAGTCCGCCCAAACCCATGGTTTTGGGGGGGCG